ACTCCTAGAACGTGACCTGGAGTTTTCAGGAACGTGGAACCAGAAGAAGGCCCAGTATGAAGGGTAATTGTGCAGCCGAGAGGATATGATTCGAGCACACACCCAACAGTTCATGAGGAAACATCCATTTTCTTCCATTCCCATTTTCCCACCCACACCTGGAAGGCCCCGGGGAGGGTGCTCTGGAACCGTGAAGTGCCGCCCCATGCCACTTGTAGACACACAACCTTTCTTCCTGGAGGCTCAGGCTCCAAGCTCCATGGCCCCCAGGGAGGGTTTTGTATTTGACCCCACACGGGATGAAGAAGAGGAGAGGGCAACACAAGGAGAGGGGCCAAAGGAAAGATTGCTCTGAGACAACCAATTGTGCAGAGGAGAGGAGAGTGCAGTTGGGTAGTGAGAAGGGGGAAGGGGGCAGCGCCTGGTTGCCTGCCCCGGGGGATTAGCTGGCTGTCATCAGCGAGATGCAGGAGAGGTCGTTAGAAATAATTGTGCCCTCGGAGGGGACCGGGGCTCTGATGAAAAGAAGGACTGAGAGTACTCCGGCTGTGCCGTCACCATGCTGTCAGTCACCGAGCCGCTCCCACGGGTCTTCAAGTCCAAAGAGGGCCCTCATTTTAATTTCTGGCAAGTCCCTGAAGGCTAGCAGACTTCTCGCTTCTCTGTGTCAGTCAGGCACAAGTTGGGTGAAGAAGAAAGGCCTTGTACTCCACCAGGGAAATGCCGTGGAGAATCGCCGCCAGGGTCATCAGAGCTCGCAAGATCAATACTCACTTATAAACAAATAACCTATCCATTTCTCTGAGCGCTCCCCATCTGTAGTGGTGGGAGGCCTCCAGGAAGAACGAGGTTAATGTCGATAAGTCATGTGTGACCCCAGAACAGTGGCTTCCCAGCCAGCTCTCTTTAACGGCTGCCGGGAACAGTCACATGTGGAGTGCTCCCCTGGCTCTGCTGGGCCTGCAAATCGAGAAGCTAGATGACATGGAATTCACAGTAGCTCCTCAGTTTAAGTTCTCCTCCCACTCAGCCCCCACAGAGCTGCTCTTGGAAAATCTCTTGGCTGAAAAAAAGGAACAGGTGTATGGTGGAGATCAGGGTCGCAGTCAGATCCAGTGACTGATGACAAGAAGGTGTTACAGGAGAAAAGGGGCCTCATCCCCATCCGTTTAACCAACTAGACAACAGAGAGACCGTCCTTGTTTCTGTAAAGTAACGGTACCCACTGCCTACAGGGAAAAAAAAATCTCAGTGCCTTCGATTGACATCCTATAATAATAGAGATCTTCAGGTAGAACCATTGGGTGCAACATGCCACCAATAGTTAAGAGTGTAAAAGAAAGATTCTTGTTTTGTTATATCAGCAGTTCCTGGGCATATCTGAAATCGTGTGTAGGTCCGTGGAAACAGGCACCCATGGGCCCCGTGCTGCCAACCCTCACGGCAAGAAAAGGCTCACAGACCTTTCAAGACTTCAAGAGCTGCACCTGCAGCAGGGAGGGTGACTGGGAAGAAGAATGTGTCATGCATGTGGCCACTTGAATGTGCACACCAGACAGCTCGGACCCAAACACCTGATGAGCAGGCTAGGTATGGTATGACATCCAGGATGTGGACGAAAGCAAACGGTCATCAAAGCGAGAAAGACAAGACCAAGACGAGTCAGCGAGACTCTGGATCCTCCTCTTGAACACACTTCACCTAAAACAAGCAGAAGACGTGGGGGACATGAAAGAGCAGAACAGAAAGTTCCAGAAGGTTGCTCCAGAGACAGAGCAAAGCATTACCGTGAAACGCGCACAGACCTGGGTTGAGAGAGCCAAAGGGGAAGAACACGCTCGTCATGTCCCAGGCTGAAAGAACTGAAGAAGGGAAATACCCGTCCTGGAGGCATCATCGCTAGTCTGTAGTTAAAATATTCATGACACAAGAAGCACCAAAAGAGCATGAAAGAAATACACAGAGTCACTGCACCAAAACTGACTTGGTTGATGCTTAACCTTTCCAAGAGGTAGCATAGGGTCAAGAGCTGATGACGTTGAAGGAAGAAGTCCAAGCTGCACCGAGGGCTTTGACCACAAGCAAGGCTCTCGGAATTGACAGGATACCAACCGAGAGGCCTCTCCAGATGGATGGAGGTGCTCACTCCTCTGTGCCAAAAACTGGGACGATGGCTACCTGCCCAGCCCACCACAAGAGATCCACGTTTGTGCTCCTTTGAAAGGAAGGTGGTCCAACAAAGGGAGAGAAGTATCAGATCAGATCATGAGTATCACACACAAGGCAACTTTTGCTGAAGAGAATTAAAAAATGTTTGAAGCTGTGCATCAACTGGGAACTGCCAGAAAATCAAGCCACATTGAGAAGAGGTCTTGGAAAGAGTGACATCACTGCTGTTGTCAGATGGATCTCAGGCAATATCAGAAAACAGTACAGGAGAGAGCCACAAAGGCAGTTAACTGCGTCTTAACCACGTAGGGATGCCATTGCAAAGGATGGGAATTCCAGAACCCTTCATTGTGCCCTTGCAGAAGTCGTACAGAAACCAAGAGGCAGTCCTTTGAGCAGAACAAAGAGACCACAGGGTTTCAAACCAGGGGCGGTGTGTGTCAGGTTGTGTCTTTCCCCGTGTGTGTTCAGTTTGTATGCTGTGCAAATAGTCCAAGTAGCTGAGCTGCACGAAGAGTTCATTCAGCATCAGAAAGGGAGGACGACTCATTAACAGCCTGCAAGATGCAGATGCCACCACCTTGTCTGCTGAGGGCAGGAGGGCACGTGACGCACTTCCCAGTGAAGATCCAAGACCACAGCCTTCCGCACGATCACTCCTCAGTGAGCACGGCGCAAACATCCTCACAACGGATCAACATGCCACACCAGGATGCACGGGGAAATACGGAGTGGTCAAGGACCTCGTTTTACAGAGAGCCACAATCCACTCCCATGGAAGCAGCAGTCAAGAAGCCAAATGAAGTTTGTCATGGAGCAAATCTGCTGCAAAAGACCCCATGAAAGTGTTCACAGGCAGAGCAAAGCTGCCCCGTTGAAGACTGCGGTGCATCTGACCCTGGCCATGGCTTTCCCAGTCACGGCCGCTGCATGGCCAAGTTGGACAAGGAATAAGAAAGACCACAGGAGAAAAGATGCATCTGAATCATGTTGTTGGTGAAGGAGATTCTAGACTGCCGGAAGAATGAACGAGTCTGTCTTGGAAGAAGTAAAACGAAATGCTCCTTAGAAGTGAGCATGGGAGACAGTGTGTCCTGTTTTGGACAGGTTACCAGGAGCCACCAGGCCCCGGTGAAGTTGAGGGTCAGGGAAAAAGAGCAAGACCCTGAATGAGATAGATTGACACATTATTGTGAGGATGGCCTAGCACCACACAGTTGTTCTTGTTTTGTTTTTCTGTTGTTCGTAGGATCCTTATCAGTCAGAACTGACTGGAAGGTGCCTCACAGCTACAACTGCCTTACAGTCCATGCTGACTCACGCCGCAGCCCCCCCACCCCCACCCCTGTGGGTTTCTAGGACTGTAACTGTTTCCGGGAAGAGAAAGCCCAGCCTTTCTTCCAACAAAGCTGCTGGAGGTTTTGAACTGCCAACCATCGGGATTATAGGGCAACACGTGACCAAATGTTTTCAAAGTGAGAGTGGATTTGCATGGCATTAAAGTTGTGCTTCAAAATGGGAGCATCCCATTCAAAGATGGCTGAGCCCTGCTCAAGGATGGTGGCCAGCCACACTGCTGTCTCTGAGCTTGTATGGCTTTGCTCAGTCTGGCCAGCAGCTCAGGCAGACTCACAGGCACTCAGGACCCGACTCCCCACCTCCCCCAGAGTGTCTGCTGCCTTGCCCGGGCTCATCTGACTCCGTGACGGATACATACCTGGCTCCTGGGGAATAAAGTCTTCAAAGCAATTAATCCGTGAGCACAGCTGCATGGACATCACACACACAGACACACACACACACACACACACACACACATTTCATTTGGGTGACAGCTCCATGTCCCACACGTCTCTTCATGAGCACTCGACATGGGTGCTTGGTCAGGGTGCCACCCAGCCCTCCTGCTCACAGCCACCTCAGTGGACCATGGTGCAGGGCGTGTGTGCAACCACTGCAGACACGCGCAGTTTGTGACACCTCGGGCACAGGACTGTTGTATGGGGTCTCTGTGAGCCCAGAGCAGCTAACAGCACCCACTGCCATCAGTCTACTCCAACACCCCCAAGGTTTACCCTTCACCCACTCCTGAAGACCTCTTCTTCCCCTTGAGGGTCCATGCTGTCCAAGACACCAAAGTCCAGCCTGTCCGAGGTCCAGCCTTTCTTCCTCCGCCCCAGCCCCGCCCTTGGCAGTCCCCACCTCTCCTGGTTGGAGTGGCTTTCTCTCGGTCTTTTCACCCACCAGTGGTCGAGGAGGCCATGTTCATGTAAAGAGGAGCCTGGATGTGCTGTGGTTAAGTGCTTGGTTTCTAAGCCACCACTGGCTCTGTGGGAGTTGGTCCCAGGGGTCTGCTCCCCAATACGCAGCAACCTGGGAGGCCCTGGGGGCAGTGGTCCTTGGTGACAGGAGGCGCTGTGCATTGGAATAGCCTCCACACCTTGGGGTTTTGTGTGTGTGTGTGTGTGTGTGTGTGTGTGTGTGTGTCTGGGGCCCACCAGCTCACACCACTTTAGCGTGACCTCGTGAGAACTGGCCCACAGGGTTTCCCCACTCTGGATCTGTAGCAGGGCCAGGAACCCAGGGCTTCCTCCTCCAAGACCCTGGGTGGATTCAAACCCGAGCCTTCAGTCCACAGCCTGGTGTGCGGACACTGCAGCAGGCCTGGCCGTCAGTTCTAAAGTCAGCCCTCTGTCACCTAGGCAGGAGAGTCGAGCAGTCTTCACAGAGGGCGGGGGGGAGGGGGGGCTGGACTGTCAGGTGGACACCCCAGGAAGTCTTCACAGGTCATCACTGTCCTGCGGTCCAATGCCCCGCTCTGCTTTCTCCAGGAGCCTTTCACCACCTTCTTCCTCAACGCCAACGAGGGGAAATTCGACCACCCTGATCGGACCTTCTCGTCGGTGGCCAGGTCTTGGAGAATCACCCAGAGGGACACCTCTGACGTCAAGGTAGGCGCTGCTCTCGGTGGGCACGGCGGGGTTCCAAGGACATGTGGAAGTCTCAGGAATTGAACCTCTGTGCGCTGACTCAGTGACCCATCTCAGGGCCTGGTTGGTGACTGTTGATTACAAATTGGAGGTGGACGACCACCTTGACCATCACAGAAACCACCCAGTTCTTTCCTCTGCGGGCTCCTGTGAGGCCTTTTCCATCATTTTAAAAAAAACAACACAAAAAACCCCCACCCCCACCCCCTTCCTCTCTAATTTAGATCAAATTGTCAAGGGACAGAGCAAAAGGCCCATAAATTGCCTTCCCCGCTGTTAACTCAATATTGGGCCCGTCCCATAAAACACAGCAGGAATTGGATTTGTCCTGAAAGCGGCATATTGTCGGAGCTACCCGACTTTGGGTTTGCATAGCCTGGGGCAATTAATAAGGCATTAATGACAAGCCCCATTTAAAATGTAGGCACTCCCGCCAGCCCTGGCTTTTACTTGCCTGCGCCTGGGGATAATAGGCTGCGACATGCATTAGATTAAGCAGCGCACAGCGCACCTCCCTGTGCAGCCTGGGTGGACGGAAACGCTCACCGTTCACTGCCGGTGCTTGGGGAACCGTTGTTGGAAGAACATGGCCCTGGGAACAATAGCATGCTCTCTCTCTCTCTCTCTCTCTCTCTCTCTCTCTCTCTCTCTTTCTCTCTCTCTCCTCTTTCTCTCCCTCCACCCCCCACCCCGTGGAAGGATGCTTACTCTGTGGCCCTGGGCTTAGCTCTCTGCCTTTCTTATTTAAGCTCCTTTGCTGCAAGGAGAGTCCCCCATCACTGCTGTCCAGACTGATGATAAACCTTGGCCTCTCGCCCCCCACAGAGGGTGTAGCCCAAGTCCACAAAGGGCAGTGAGTGCCGCCCTGGCTCTGTGCTTCTGCCCCTGCAGAGCAGTCACAGTCACACAGTCCCTGCCCACTGGTGGGGGGTGGGGGGGCTCCCCTCCGTCTCTCTGCAGAGCAGCCCCAGAGTGAGTGTAACAGAGCACGCGCAGTCACACAGACGTGTGTCCACCTTGGGGCTGCAGTGGGAGAAGCTCGCAGCCTCGGCATTCAGGGTTTCTTCTCCCCGAGAAGTTCAACTCGAAAATTCCCAAACCCCAAATGGAACTCACTGCCATTGTGTTTGCTCAGACTCTTAGCAGGCCTGTGGGAGGGGCAGAACTGCCCGTGTGCGTTTCTGACTGGATGCTCTATGGGAGTGGAAAGCCTTTTCCAACAGAGCGGCTAGTGGTTTCGAACTGCAGACCTTGTGGTTGGCAGCCCAGCATGTAACCACCACGCTGCCATCGCTCTGCATAAACTGGACACAAACAAGCTGGCAGTTGGAACCCCCCAGGGGCTGGGAAGGAAACACGTGGCACATCGCTTCCCTAAAGAAGCTTAAAGCCCTTCAAATCTAACCCTGGACACCACACGAGGCAGCCCATATCCTCAGAGGTTTCTATGAGTTGGAAGTGATTGATGGCACAGGGTTTTAGGGCTACTAGTGTACCCGAGGGGGAAGGCAGTTCTTAGGAACCCCAAGAAGCAACACAGGAAGTGGGAGGCTCCGTTTAAGGAGCCCTGGCTGGTGGGGCTGCCAGATAAGCGTGGATTGGTACCTACGCCGTCAGTGGGGCAGGTTGCCGGCCCTCCATGGGGGTGGGAGGAGAGTGTGCAGGCTCAAGACCACCCGGGACAGGACAGGACAGCTGTGGGCCAGCGTGGATGGGCCTACAGTCAACAGAAGGCCCTGGCACCTTAGTCACAAGGCGGGCTTAATAAATAGTTCCCGGTGTCTCCATGCTCCAGTGCCGCTGGCAGAAACACCACCAGGGGTGGTTCTAACGGACAGAATGACGTAAGATGCTGCACGTGGGGGTTCAGGCCACCAGCTCTAGGAGAGTGCTCTGTGTGTGTATGTGTGCCTGTCTGTCTGTCAGTTCTCGGGAAAGGTCCCTGTCTCCTTTTAGCACCTGTACACTCAGCATTTCTCAGGGAGCTCTGTGTGTCTTGTGTCAACCTCCCTTCAGGAGGTTCTCAGCGCGGGCGCCCCGAGCCCAAAGGACCCCCTCTGCTTCTTGGTCTTCTTTCCTGGTGGATCTCGGGCCCCTGTTGTCCCAGCTCCCTTCTCTCCCCTTCAGTCCTTGTAACACAACAGGTGCTGCAGGCCACTCCCCAGCAAGCCCCCGACACCAGACAAGGCTGTGCCTGAGTAGAGGCGCTGCACCCTACCCGGCCCCTGCAGCAGATAGGGGCTGGGGGAGGTGACATCATGGTGTAACCGCCTGGCCAAGTGGACTCCTACCTTGGGGACACAATTCAGTCCCAGCAGTGTGTGGAAGTGCAGCTCCCCATCTGTAATGGGAAGTGACAAGTTCACATTCTCAACTGGAAGGCGGGACTTCCAGCTCACCCCGAGGTACCACCGAGGAAAAGCCTGGCAGAGCCCTGCTGGGAGCCCGAGTCGGCCCCTGACAGCTGTTCTCTGTCCCTCTTGCTGTCCGCTGAGTCGCACGCTCCCTGCTACTTGCCAGATGACGTCTGAATTCAGAGCTAGATTCACAGAAGGGTCCAAGTGAAAAGGCCAGTTCTCTATCACAGGACGTCATCCACACATGTGCGCACACACACACACACGCAAGCACACACACAACTGGCTTTTCACCTGCAGTCAGAACCCCACCCTCATGCATGTGTGCAGGTGCTCACATGATCATGCATCCACACACACAAACATGCCTACACACGCACGCAAACACACACAAACACAAATACATGCATACGCAAACCCATACAGACACGTGTACATGCATGCACACATACACATATGGACACATGCATGCACGCACATGTCTACACCGTGCCCAGTTGTCTGGCTCAGGTCTGTGCAGGGCAGCTCCAGCCCTCCCTTCCCAAGGACAGGCTCCCAGGCCGTGCGTCTGAGGGAGGGTGTCTGCCCCGTCTTTTCTGCCCTGGCTCCTGTTTGCTGCCCCTCAGATGCTCCCTGGATGTGCTCACTCCCAGGTGGTCTCAGGCTGCCCCCCACCCCCTGGAGCAAAGCAGGCCCCTTAGGGGTTCCTGGCAGGTCTCCGCAGGAGTGCACAGCCTCCTGGCCCTCCTGAGGAGCGCCCGCTGGGCTGAACTGCTGACACTGGTGAGCGGTGAGCAGCCCTGTGCTTGTCCCTGGGGCCCTCCGGGCCCTGTCACATCCCGCATGCTGAGCTACCGCTGTCAGCCCAGCACCTGCAAGGTCTCCTCACCTCGCGTGACGCTCTTCCATGGGACCACTCGGCGTGCCATGCCGCTGGTTCCCGTGGATTATCACTCATTTTAGCCCCTACCCTCACCCTGCCCAGCCACCGCCCCCCCTTGGCAACGATGGCACCCGCTTACTTGAACCCCAGCACCCATTTCCCCCAAGTGTTGTCAGGGCCTCTGGGACCCCAGGACAGGGGCTAAGGAGACACAGTTTAGGGAAGGCCACAGGGGGCTGGGGCCACCAGTGGATGTCTGGGTGGATCTTTCAGGGGAAGAAAGGCAGAGTGAGAAGGTGGGACAGCTTGAGCCTAGGTGATTCTGCCTGGGAGCAGGGAATGCGGGTCTGGGTGTGTCTTGAATGAAGGGCGCAGTGCAGCCCCTCAGCCACATGCTGGGGCCTGAGCTGTCGGCCCGCTGCTGCTGCTGCCGCTGCTGCTCACAGTCCGGCCATCGACACGGGTCCTCCATCACCGCAGACAGGCTCTCAAGTCCAATTCCTCCGCAGCTTAGCTTGTCATAAGCTTGTCAATGAGAAATTGTGTTTGAGGATATTTTCTTATTAGACAGAGACGCACATAATACCATTATCTGCGCCGCGGGGCTCTAGGAGAGCTGCTAAAATCAACTCCAGCTGGCTTTCAAGACGCAAGCCGCCCATCACAATGTTCACTCTGCCAGCTCTCTGCCCCCCTTTCCCACGCGAGGCTGGTCGGCTCCAGACTCTGTCCTGAAAAGGGAGCGACGGACAGCAAGTCGTCCCGGGAGCCACGCCAGCAGTGGCGCCTGGGGAGAGTTCACGGTCCTAGAACCTTCCTTGCTGAGGAGCCCGCGCCTGTCGGCCATGCAGGTACCCCATGCTCAGTGCTGTCCAACAAGGCCCTCATCGCTGGTCCTACTGTGCAGGGCAGCTCCAGCGGCTCCGTCCTTGTCTGCATCGGCCAGCAGGGGAGGAAGCAGCCCAAGCCAGCCAGCTCTGCTCAGCCATTCTGTGTCGTAGCTGCTGGTCCATCAGGCTGTAGGAGAGGCTTCGGAAAGCTCAGGGGACAGGTGGAAGGAACGTGGGGATTCTCTGCACACCTTTCAAAGGCCCTCAAGCTTTAGTTGCACTGCCCTCTCAGGCCCAGGACCCAGCAGATCCAAAGACCCGGCTCACAGTGTGAGGCTGGAGGAGGGCCCCTCGGGTCTCAGTGTGCACCAGCGGGCCGGGGGTCTCTGGAGAACGGGGTCCAAGACACCAGATGGAAGGAGGCAGGGGTGGGGGGTGGGGGCTGACCAGTGCCTCTCCTGACATGGCGCCTGGCTTCCAGGAAGAACAGAGAAGGCCGAGAGTCACAAGGGGTCACCCCCGCAGCATTGTCTCTGTTGGGGCAGGTGCCAGGGCCACCACTCTAGGGGAGTGGAGAGATACACTCAGCCGATGGTGGGCGAGCGACACACCCCTGCTCAGGGCTTCAGAGGCTGGAGGGAGTCCTGGCGGTGGCTCTCTGGAGCATCACCCACGCCTGTGAGCCAGGCCTGCTCCGCTGCTGCCCCTGCCCGGGGTTTCCCTCTGTGCGTCCAGCTCCGCCCAGGGCATCATGAGGGGCAGGCACCAGGCCCAGGAGACAAATGGGATGAGTTAGCTGTACCGCATGCACTGGGCTTACTGTGCTAGAAAGGAACCCGTGGACACACGTGTTCATGACGGAGGTCAGGAGGCACCAGCCATGCTGCCCAC